CCCTCTCCCTGCTTTGGTTTTGGAAGCATCAGTATACCACGTTATGGTATGGTCTTTTATATGCTGGGTAAGCGTTTCCTCCTTCCAATCCTTTTTATTACTCAATACTACAGTGAGGTGTTTCTCAAAGTTGTAAATTCTTGGTATGCCAAACACTGGTAGTTGGAGAAGTGGAATTTTCTTTTTGAGTGTGTTCCAAGCCCCTGACCTAAAAATTCTCCCAGTACTGTTTCCGTCAATGACCATTCTAATCATTGTCACATTGGCATAACTACAGACGACAATGTGCAGTGGTGTTAGGTCTAGAATGACCTCCATTGCTGCTGGCTGCTGTTGGACATGTTCTCATGGCACCTGTGATGCAGATACATGCCAGTCTCTGTACTTTGCACCGGTTTTGCCTTGCTGTACGTTGCTCTAGTTTTGTATACCAAGCAAGTACTTCCAATAACGAGCATATAATCCTAATTTAAACCGATTTGGAATGGATAGTGTCGCACTTTTCAATTTTTTTAGTTTCAAATTTCAAATTTCTCTAATTTTACATTGTATTATTAAATATACAAATGTTAAAAAAGAAGCAGCAAATAAAAAACTAATAAAGAAATAACAGTATAGAACAGTATTTCATAAACACACAATTATTTTTCTATTATTTATTTAATTCTTCATCTGAGTTACTGTCTTCCGTAGCTGAATCATAAACTATTATTTCTTCGACTTGATTTTCTTTGTCCGTTTCCACGTCAGGTATACTTTGGCGTTGAATTAACTCTTGGACTCCGGTTTGTAATGCATCGGAACTCATTAGAAGATAACCGTTTTGTTAGGCGTGCATTCTTATATTCATAAGCTTGTAAGTGACTCCGAGGCAGTACTGTTTCGATGAGTTTTTGTCAAGACAAAGCAGCCGGGGGCAGAACCATTGTTGTAACTGCTGCCATTTACGTACTCTAGCCTCACCCACTGTTTTGCTTACCGGATCGTTATAAATAATTCTCATGGATAATAGTTCTAGTTGAAGAAATAACTCCATAAATATTTCATGAGCTCCAAATTAAAAACTAAGAACATTAGTTCATCATACTGCAACAAAGCAAATCCTCAACCTTTTGACTTGTAGACAAAATCCCATAACACTGGTTGATATAATACAATATAAAATAACAACGGTGATCTTACCTTTATTTACAGCTCATAGTATGTTTCACAAACCGATTAAAATCAAAATTTATGTCATTAAGTGTTTTGCCTGTGTTACCACCGACAGACATTGATAGATGTCGGAATGGCTTTGCATAAGGGTGCAGCATGCAAGGCAAGGGGTTAGTATGTCTTAAACATTATTTCAAAAAAAAAAACAAAAGTGACTTTCATGTTTAATTTATGCCACGCCACGCTATGAGCACCACGTGAGCCCACACCACGTGAGCCCACGTGTTGTGACGTGGGAAAGAGTGTACACATGAGATATGGGACAGACGAATGGCCCATCACACGTGTGATAGCGTGGGATGGCGTGAGCCCTAGTGTACATAATCCCCATCATTATCCATGCAAAAAATAAATATCAGAAATAAAAAAGTTCCCCCAAAAAACACGCGACATTTCATATCTCGACTGGACCATTAGTTTGTGCAAAAAATTGGCTTCAATAAAAATCTGTCTCATCTACATTGTTAACTGAGCGTTACCAAGGTTTTAGATAGCTGTGACTTTGTTGGTTAAGATTTAACCTCACAATTTGTTTATCGTATGTGTATTTAATTGGGGTGATTTTTTTAAGACAATTTAATATTGGTGCAGTTTGGTTTGAACAGACTAGTTTGCGCAAATTAACTGAGAGTGTAAACGGCCCATTAGCCTATGCCTATTATTATGAAAGGTTAACTTAGTAGTATTAAGTAGTTACTGCCCAATTTATTGGGCAGTTATCATAGTCGGTTAGGAAGAGTCACAATTTAAATATATTTTTTGAAAACTTGAATTAACTATTAATTTAAATTCCTATTCTTTTAATGTTTGCTCATATACAAGGTGTTTCAAAAAATATGTGCCATCTCTCGTGGGGAGATTCCTCACGTAAAAATAAGATTTATTTTTCATATCAACATAGGTCCGATTTTGCTTTGTTTCTTAGCTACAGGGTGTTAAAATCTTAATATTTTTTCGATTTATTATAATTCTCTTCCAAGCGCTTTTAACTAGTAGTGGGAACTATCGAATGAATACTATCGAAACATTCGATAGTTGGAATTCATTCGAATAATTTGATAGCTAGTAAAAAAACATTCGTTGAAAACTATTCGAATAAAAATTATCGAATAGATGCGTCATCTGCCTTGAAATATTGTATTCTAGTAATTCGGCAGCAAAAACCATTCATTTATAAAATTCATTCATTTATTCGTAAGGATGGATTATAATAAAATATTAACTGGATTTTAGTTGTCGCCCGGCGACGTAGGTTTCTTTCCGAGAAACCCGACAGCGGTCGATGGCAATGCTATGAAAGAAGCCGGCATCTTTGATTTTTTGCGGAATCATATAAAGATAAGGACACATTATTTTTTTTTATTGAGGTGCTAGTATTTACACAGAAAATACATTATGAAGGGCGCTGTTGCCATATATTGGTATTAGTTGATATTAGCAAAGAATATTATTGTTTGGCTTTAGTTAGTTAGTGATAGTATGTCTATATATTTTGCATTTTTTTTATTAATATTCTGTTGTAACACTGCAATAATACTTGTTATTTTGGATGTAGGAAAATGATTTTTAATGTTTTTAAGCAAAGACTGGTTTAATAAAAATAATAATAACAGTAATAATTTGTTATACCTATTAACAACAAAATTTAAAACAATTTAATATAAACATTTTTTTTACGTAGTAGCAAAATATAAACAACAAATTAGATGTCAAAAGTATTTATATTAGATCCTATTTAAAAATAATATAGTCTTTAAATTTTTTGTGTGGCAACGTTGGTTTATTAAATAATAATAATTACAGAACTAATTTGTTATATTAACAACAAACTTTAAAATCATGAAATATAAACATTTATTAATTTTCTAAGCATGCAGTGTAATGGAAGGAAAATATAAATAAAAAATTAGAAATCAAAATTATTTATATTAGGTACTTTATATTACTATTTAAAAATAATATTTACTTTTACTGGCATTTACTTTAAAAAATAAATGAAATATTTCTTCGCAAAAAACTACATGTAAGAGAATTAGCATAAACAAAATACAAACATCGTTAACTTTTTTTTTTAAATTGGCACGTGTAAAACTTTCAATTTAATTTTCTCACCCCATAGTTTGAGTTCGATAACCATTTACTTAACCACATTACTTAAATATGATTATTAAGTTCAACTAATTCATATTATTTAAACATCTAAAATACAAATATGTATTTTTAGAATTAATTCATAATAACTCATCTCTCTTAAAAATTGATACTTCTCAAAATTTCCCATTAAAAAATAGACCATATATACCATATAAAATAAAATAATTGAAAGATCGCGCTACGGAAAATCACACAAATTTTCGGAAAAATTTTGACACCTGCACACGCACACAATCGCCAATTAAAAAAAAAACTACTATTTTAGTATTTTAAATATTTTAATAAACCCAAAATTGGCACAGTATTAATAAGGTGAAGTTATAAAAATTTGGAAGAACTAATAATGCACTGACGCACACAAAAATCAAACGAATACTCTGACTAAATTTCATTTATCAAAAGCATTCGATAATCCTGGCTCAACGATAACCATTTAGTTGCACGGCAAGGTTGTCACATATGCTTTAGTATACAAATGAATGAATGATTTTATTCGAATAAAACCATTCGATAGTTGAAATCATTCATTCAGTAACCATTCGATAGTCTAATTCATTCGATAGTTCCCATCGCTATTTTTAACGTTTCGAATGAAATTTTGAGGGTAAAATTTACTATAAGTGTAACATATTTTAAAGCTAAAAAAATATCGACATATTCACTAGGGACGTGCATATGGGTTATCACTGGAATATTTTTCTAAAAAATCATGTACACCACTGACTTTTTTTTTTCTCTTGTTAGCGAAATAGTGTAAGGAATTTAATGCCGAATAAAAGTTGTATCTTGATATTTTGTCGATTTCGGCCTCCTTGATGAGATAAACATAATTTTATTAATTTTCCTTGATCCAAGTCTAACCTTTAAAAAATTTTAATATCATTAACTTGCGAAAGTACTCGTCGATTCCTCGTCGAAGAATTTGAAAAAAAGTTCCTATACACATGGGTATGCAAATGCATAGTTTTAGATTTACAGGGTGTTAAAAAATTTTAAAATTAGGTTTTTTGTAATTATCTTCAATACCATTATTTTTTATTTGAAATTGCTGTAGGTTGGACTAATAGTAATAATACCTAGTTGTAATAATATTTAATAATAAATTAGGTAAAATATATATTTTATTAACTTCATTTTATTTTTTTCATTTTATTTATGGTGATTAATAAAATTGCGTTTATCTCATCAAGGAGGCCGAATTAGACAAAATATCAAGAGATAACTTTTAATTGGCATAAAACGACCTAGACAATTTTGATAGCAAAAGAAAAAAAGTCAGTGGCGCACATGTTTTTTTATTGAAAAATATTGCAGTGATAACCCATATGCACGTCCCTGAAAAATTTATCGACACTTTTTTAGCATTTAAAATATGTAGCACTTATAGTAACTTTCACCCTCAAAATTTCATTCGAATCAGTAAAAGTAATTGGAAGAATATCATAATAAATCGAGAGAAGATTATTAAGACTTTAACACCCTGTAGCTACGAAACAAAGCAGAATCGGACCTATGCTGATATGAAAAATAAATCTTATTTTTATATGAGGAATCTCCCCACGAGAGATGGCACATGTTTTTTGAAACACCCTGCATAATCCCTCCTCTAATTATATTGTCTTTATTTACAGGCAAAAAATGAAATCGAACATTTACTACAACGAGCTAAATCAGAAGGACAAATTCACAAAGAAAGCATCTTCAGCATATTCACAAAACCAAACGTGATGAAGCCACTTCTAATCATAAACATTTTCAATATTTTGCAAATCCTTTCCGGAACATATTTAGTCGTGTTTTATGCTGTGGACATTTTGAGTAACATAAACGGAAAACTAATAAACCAGTTTCTAGCTGCGTCTTTGACTGCATGCGTTAGATTTATTTTCACTATTATAGCCAGTCTACTTCTAGCACTAATCGGAAGAAGAAAGATCGCTTTAATGAGCGGAATAGGGTCCACTATATCGGCATTATGTCTAGGAATAATCCTTCAGCAAGATTGTGAACAATCCCATTATCTTACCGCCTTGTTCACTTTAACATACGTGGCAGCGAATACCTTGGGTTTCTTCGTTTTACCTGGTGTGATGCTTAGTGAACTCTTCCCAGCTAAAGTTCGCGGTCATGCCGGTGGAATCACGTTTATGTTGTTCAATTTTGCACTGTTTGGTATAGCTAAAATATTTCCTTTTATTAAGAACAGTATTGGAATACACGGAGTGTTCTTAATATTCGGATTATCGTCCCTTTTAGCCAGTTTATTTCTCTATCTAGTCTTACCGGAAACAAAGGGGAAAAGTTTAAGTTATATCGAAGATTATTTTCAACAAAATAATTTTGTGTGGGCTAAGAGAGATAAAAACTGGGAAAAGAAACTTCACGGAAGTGAGAATGAAAGACTAAACAAAGCCTAAATTAATTAACTTAAATTGTAAATAGATACTGGGACATTGGAAGCATTGTTTAAGTAGAAGATAAAAAACAAAGTAGTCTTTTGCTCTTGATTGTGTAATATTTACATTATAAGGCTGTTTCCTGTAAAAAAATTATAAAAAGTTTTGTTAACTCCCCAAAAAAGTCCTATGGATATTTCGCCACGGTAAGAAAATAAAAAAAATTAAATAGTTATTTTTTGTAAACATTGCTGCGTTAATCCAACGGAGACTAATTGTCAACAGTGGTTTACTAATAAACAAATTTGCCCAATGCCGCAACCGCGCATGCGGCATTTAGCGATCTCCGATCGGGGCTTCGCCGATTTCCTATGTGTATGGATGTGGAAGTCGGAGTTCGGCGACGAGAACGAACGCTCGTCTCTATGTTGTTGCTATCAGAGCCCGCATGTGTGGATGGAAAAGCGAAGTCCGATCACGAGCGCTCGGTAGTTGACGAGCGCTTGGAGTTCGCTAAATGCCGCATAAGCGGTTAAGGCATAACGGACAAAAAATACTTGCTTCGGGAAGTATACCGTGCTGGCAACTGTTACACTTGGGTCGGTATTTACATGTGTGGAAGTAAATCGCATAGGGATCTTATTAAGTCGGAGTGAGAGAAATGCGACGGAGTGCTGTTGCGGCGTTGCCGGTACGCCTTTCCTTATCAAGTAAAGTAAAATCACGATCGCAAACCGCTTATTTTTAAAATAGTGAAATGGAATTATAAGGATATCTTTAAGGTGTTATTTTTTTATAACGAGAAAACGTCAGTAATCGCGATAATTTAAAAACACTTTTTATCACATAACACGCCATAACTAAAGAAACACTTTAGATATTCAAACTTTTTTTTATTTTGAAGATAGGATCTTTTACAATATGTTTACATAAGAAAAATTCGATAAGGTTCTTTTTTTCCATTCAAAAATTGTAAACAACCCATCTATTTACTTTTAGAGCATAGCAATTTTCAGCAGTCGTGTAATTTTTTTATTGATAAAGATTTTCACTTACTGTCTACGAAGAAAATGCAGCAGAAATATTAAGAAAGTTTTTGCAAAAACTACAGTCAATTATTTCTAATAGATTTCGAGATATCGATTTTTGAATTCAGAGTTCTAATAGCCCGGCCACTGTCGAAAACCAACTCAATTCTACTTATTTTTACCAAAAATGCAAGTGTTTCTAGCTTGCACTTAAACATTTTCAAGCTATAGGGAAAATTACGAGTCGTTAATAAATAAACAAAGTAACACGAGACGTAATAAAATCGTGAAGCTGAACGCATGATGTACACCTTTCCCTAGAACTTTAAGTATTGACAGAGGTAAGAGGTACTGATTGGGTCGACCGGTCAACTGCGACAAATCTGCTATATCTGTTCTCCCTTTGTTCAGTACATTATAAACGTATTGTACTCTTCATACATACGGAAATCTCGACCCAAGACTAACCTTTGCCAGCCCTTAGTATCTGGTCCCGTCGTCGCGTCGGAAGCAAAAAAACACAAAGAACGAAGAAAAAAACTATTTAAAATATCTAAAGGCAACTATATGAGTGAACACTTTAGTGAACACACTAGTTTTATTACGTTCTGTTAAAATTACACTTCTTGATTTTTAATTTTTTTTATTAGCTGAATACATACGAACAGTTTAATTATACAAATTGTAACGAAAAGTCTGCTAGTTTATGTCATAAAGGAAATTTTAATTTTGGCAGATAAATTACTGACAAATAATTTGGGACGATAATTTCCTCTAGTACACTAACACAGCGATTAGACAAATATGTCGCGAATTATCAACAATCTCATGACGATAGTAAATGTTGAAAAGTATCTTCATCCATGTATAGGTAGCTATTTAAAATCGCCAGGCTCATCCTTTTGCAGCTGCTTTATAAGCGGAATGTGGTGTAATTCTTTTCTCAATGACCATATTTTAACCCATTCGGTCTGTTTTTTATTGACTGGGCCTTATTTTATATTCACATAACCAATCATTCCAATTAGTAAAAAGTTTTATAAATCATTTTTTCATTCATCGTAGACTGACTGAAAAGATAGACTAATCTACGAGTAACAATTAAATCGCTCAGATTTTCAGAAATTCCGAAAAATCAACGATCCGAATACAGGGTGAGTTTCCTACGATGTTCTTTATGGGTATCTCGGAAACTACTGGAGATAGAGAGTCAGTTAAATGGGGAAAGAATTGCAGTTTTGTGGGGTCATAAATATGCGCTTTTCAGATTTTCGAAAAAGTTCATGGCTTACTAGATATTTCGAAAAAAAAAACAAATTTTAGCTATTTTAAAAATTGTCCCTAATTCCATAATAATCTATTTTAGACAAAAAGTTTTCAGATAAAAGTTGTAGATAATCACATTCCTAATGAGTTTGTGTTCTCCGATTTTTTCTAAAGCCTGTCATTTTTAACATATGACACAAACATGTTTTTTTAATGGAAACCATAGTTGGCCATGACTTCATAAAAAGCGCCATTTTTTAAGCTTTTCAGGCGATATAAGGTATAATATATTTCTTTCACAAAATTACTGAGTTATAGCCAATTTTTATCTTTCTTGACTAATTTCACTTAGCCATGGAAACAAGTTCAATCGTCGTTGCTCTCAGGAATGTGAAATTGTCACATCCAATCTTTGTAAATTAACATAAACAAAAATTGTAAATAAGAGTTTTTTAAATGAAGAAAAGCGTGTAGGATTATTGATTCAACTTTTCTTGGCTTTACAGTTTCGAGGATACGTTGACCGGTGAACGTTACGTTTTTTAGAGAACGGTTTTCAAGACATGTTAGAAAAGTTAAATTTAGATACTCGCGCATTAATACAGTGGTTCCAACATTACTTTGATTATGACACCCCACCCCCCACCATGAAACACCACAATGAAACAAATGAAAAAAAAAATAAAAAAAATATTTATATTATAATTATGTAGACTCAGGGATAGAAAGAGGTGGACCAATTGCATGGGTCTCCTCGGTCTAGCTAACATTTTAGATTTTTTTATGCGGTATGGTTAACAACAAGGTTTACAAAAGAACTCGTGAATTAAGAGAGGCACTCGAAGAGGCGAAACAGGAGAAGTTTAATTAAGTCGACCGGTCGTTCTGTGACAATAGCTAGAAATTCAGTTTTAAAAAAATGCATT